GGGGGGGGGAGGTATGGGGTGGCTGGGTGATAGACATTGTGGGGGTATGTGCTATGGTGAGCGTTGTGAATTGTGCAAGAGTGTTGAATCACAGATCTGTACCTCTGAAACAAATAATGCAATATATGTCAAGAAAACAAAAAAAAGAAAATAGCAGGAAGGGAGGAATGAAGGGGGGGAAATTGGAGGGGGAGACGAACCATGAGAGACAATGGACTCTGAAAAACAAACTGAGGGTTCTAGTGCGGAGGGGTGTGGGGGGATGGGTTAGCCTGGTGATGGGTATTAAAGAGGGCACGTTCTGCGTGGAGCACTGGGTGTTATGCACAAACAATGAAACATGGAACACTACATCCAAAACTAATGATGTAATGTATGGTGATTAACATAAGATTAAAAAATTTAAAAAAAAAAGATATTCTGTGCTCCTTGACTGGAAGAATTAATATTGTTAAAATGTACATATTACCCAAAATAATATTCAGATTAAATGCAATCTCTATCAAAATCCCAATGGCATTTTTCACAGAATTACAACAACCATAAAATTTGTATGGAACCAAAAAGATCCCAAATAGCCACAGCAATCTTAAGCAAGAACCACAAAGCTGAAAGCAGCATTCTCCTTGATTTCAAACTATATTACAAACCACTAGTAATCAAAAAAATATGGTGTTGGCACAAAAACAGACACACAGTTCTTTGGGACAGAATAGAGAGTCTAGAAATAAATGTATCCATACATGGCCAATTAACTTACAACAACGCAGCCAAGAATATATAATGGGGAAAGGGCAGTTTCTTTAATAATTGGTATTTTGAAAAATGGGCAGCCACATGCAAAAGAATAAAATTAGACTAACATCTTACACCATACATAAAAATTAACTCAAAATGGATATAGACTTGAATTTAAGACCTGAAACTATAAGAATCCTAGAAGAAAACATAAGCAGTAATGTCCTTGACATCAATATAGGCCATTTTTTAATAATCTGACTCCAAAAGTAAAGGCAACTAAAGCAAAAATAAACAAATGGGACTACATTAAACGAAAACCTTCTGCACAGCAAAGTAAACAATCACTAAAATTAAAAGGCAACCTACTCAAATGGGAGAAAATATTTGTAAATCATATATCTGGTAAGAGTTAATATTCAAAATATATAAAGAACTCATACAACTCAACACTAAAACAATCTGATTTCAAAATGGTCAGGGGATCTGAATAGACATTTTTCCAAAGAAACCACAGAGATGACTAACAAGCAAATGAAAAGATGCTCAATTTCACTAATTATCATCAGAGAAATACAAATGAAAAGCACAGTGAGATTTAATCCCACACCTATTAGAATGGCTATCATTAAGAAGAGAAGAGATAACAAGTGCTGGTGAGGATGTGGAGAAAAGGGAACCTTCATGCACCGTTGGGAATGTAAATTGGTGCAGCCACTATGAAAAACAGTATGGAGTTACTTCAAAAACTTAAAAATAACACTACCATATGATCCAGCGATTCTACTTCTGGATATTTATCCAAAGAAATTGAAAACTCTAATTCAAAAAGAATATGCACTCCTATTTTCATTGCAGCATTATTTACAATACACCAGATATGGAAACAACCTAAGTGTCCATCAGTGGATGAACAGATAAGGATGTGCTATATATATATAATGGAAAACTCCTCAGCCATAAGAAAGATGGAATCCTGCCATTTGCTACCACATGGATGGATCCTAAGGGTACATGAGGTTATGCTAAGTGTAATAAGTCAAACAGAAAAAGATAAATGCCGTATGATTTCACTCTTATGTGGAATTTAAGACACAAAACAAATGAGCAAAGGTTAAAAAGAGAGAGAGGCAAACCAGGAAACAGACTCTTAACTATAGAGAACAAACCGATTACTAGAGGGGAGGGGAGGATGGGTTAAATAGATGATGGGGATTAAGGAGTACACTTGTGATGAGCACTGGATGTCATATTTTTGTTTTGCATATGCTCTGGACAAGGAAATTCAAGGCATGATACTTCATTTAATATTCTCTCACAGATTTCGTTCTATAAAAATGAGAAATTCAAATGAATTATAACTAGCATTCAAGGGATAATAATTGAATGGAAAAGCAGTAATAACTTTGGTTGGATAGATGGCAACTCTAAATACTCTGAGATTAAGGAGAGAATTAAAAAGGACCTCAGAGATCAAATAATCTGTTGTTTTACACCAGTACTTTGATTTCTTCCATTTTATCTTATATACAGTTTCATTTCCAATACTTCAATTGACAGGGAATTTTCTACCTCCCATGTCAGTCAATTCTACCTTTGGAACATTCTAAATGTCAGGAAAGTCTTTTTGGCAAAAATATAAACTACCCATAATTTTCTCCTTATGTATCTCTCGTTGAATTCTGGTTTGGCTCTATCAGGTGCCAGTAGTAATTCAAAGAATTACCCTGAAGCCTGAAATGGAGTGTCATATAGGTCTACCAGGAGGCCTAAAAGTGCACCATGAAAATGATGGGTTCTGAGGACTGGGGATACAAATATGGTTCATTTCATGACAGATAAAACCAATAAAGAGTATGAAAACACATTCAGTGGATAAGCTTTCTTCTGTGTCTATAAGTGTAGTTTTGACTTTAATTTTCATTTACAAAGTTTTCTGAGGAAGTTATTTTCTTCCCTCACACAATGCTATTATAAGGATTTGAGAAGATTAAAATTATTATGAAAAATAGGTACTATAAACTACTGACATTGTTATTTACTAAGTTACAGGAGTAGTGGCAGTGATGGGTTTGCGTTCTTAATGAAGATTTTCAGAAGAATAGAAAACATATTAATCAAGATATGGGGTTGGGAGAAATAAAAAACTGGGACCAGTGTATCTTAAATCATAAAGTACACAGAATTATTTGGGACCTTCTTTAAATGCAGATTTTTTTGTACCCCCCCCACCCCTGACTGACCCTCACTCATTAATATGTATTTCTGTATTTCACTCCCAGTAATAGATCACATTTTGGGAATTATAGAAAAACAAGAGTCTAACTCTAACGTAAAACAAAATGTTACTGATGAAATTTTACTTTGTAAACATTAGAAATAAAGAAGGAATAGGTGTCTGGGTGGCTCAGTCAGTTGTGTCCAACTTACTTTTAGCTCAAGTCACAATCTCAGGGTCCTGAGATGGAGCCCCAGTGGGCTCCATGCTCAGTGGGGAGTCTGCTTGAAGATTCTCACCCTCTGCCTCTCCCTCCCACTTAGTCATACTTTCTCCCTCCCCATATAAATAAATCTTTTAAAAAAAAGAAAGAGAGGAGCAATTTGGGAAACATCAAAGTCTATTGATAAGAATAAATTTATACATATGGATGTATAAGAATATAAAGAAATATAAGCCTGTCTACCCATTTACAGATTATAACCATATATAAAGAGATCAAATGTCCCTTTAATTATCTTAATATTTGACAGGGATTTGAAAAACCAAGTACACAAGCAATTAGGAGGAATATCCAAAAGAAAGGAAGGACAACATCAGTAAAGCTAATGCTGGCTCATTTACTTGGACAGTATCACTTCAATAATAGGACAGATTTTTTCTCAAAGGCCCTCAAAAAACAAAAACAATCCATGTGCTTCAAAAATCACACTTCGGCTGAATTACAAGTAGAGAATCAGAGTAGTAGTACTTAGGAAAAATTTATATCAAAGGCTGGATATAGTTGTAGAAGTTAGTACTACTATTTGCTATCTATGTGACCATGGGCAAGTTGCTTAGCTCCCAGGAACCTCAATTTTCTGTCTTGTAAAAAGGGGATCATAGTATCTGTCCTTTTCTGCTTCAAGATGTTGTCGTATGGATCAAATGAAAAATGAGTGTACTTTTGAAATTTATAAACACTACCATGTGGACGGTATATGGGTATATTCAAAGTCTTACTATATAAGCACAGTTAAATCCATAGAGAGGCAATGGCTTTGGGGGAAATAATGGCAGGTTTCGGAGACACCTTTAATCTCATACATTTCTGTAAGAGGGGTGGGAACCAATGAGAAATATCACTTAACACATACAGGCACAAAATAAATTTTCACCTTCTGAAAGGGTTTTGTAGTGACTTCTCAAGTGCAGTTAATGAGTATATCACCATAACTGTAACTGACTCTGGGAAGAACAAACACTGGGGCACCTTGGCTACTAAATTCTGAAATGTATCCCAACCATCTGCCATTATTATGAGGTTTTCATTATTCTTATCAGTTCTCACGACAGAGTCCTAGTAATACTTTTGGTGAACACAGCCTTAAATTTCTCAGCTTAATTAAACTTTAGACAGGCTTATTCCTGACCCTCATACTTTGGTCTTCCTTTTCTTGGAGCATTTACTTTAAAGACTTTGTAACTGCAAATTCCTTCTCTGCCCCCTTTGAGATGTAAATTTTTTTAAAAAGTTGTTGTCAGTGTTACAATCCAGGACTACCTGTCTCCAGGATCTGACAGCCATCCCTCTGACATGTCAACATCAAGGAAGATAGTTCTCCTAACTCCCAATTCCTGTGGGAGGACAGGAGCTGAACTTTAGTGGATGCCCTACTCCAAGTTGTAAAATTACCTCCTATCACAAAAATAGGAGAAAATTTACTTTTCTTTCGGAAAAAGCAAATTAGCAAACACAGATGGCCTGTGTTCTCTCTCACCCCAGTGCCTACAAGTCTCCTTACCCTTTGTTTCAAATGAAATGAATTCAGACTTTAGTCTGATCTCCCTCTTGACTATAATAAATAAAATCTTGAATAAAATCTTCCTTACCTCTTTAACTTCGTCGGGTGCAATTTTTGCTTCGACACTCAGGGACCTGTTTAGGACAGAAAAAAGACTTGTAATTTGCAATCATGGAAACAGCAGACCAGAAGGAGTGGTACCATTTGATAAAGATATAAGGTAAACAAACTCTACTTTGTGAAAAGGTTGCTGTCAGTCATAGGAATTTGCATGAAGCTTGGAATCATACATTTAAACAAGTTCTAAATATAATTGGTCTTGGGCAAGGAAAATTTTTGTGCAAAATTACAGCACTGTTTAATAGAACCTGGACTGTATTTTCCAGATTGCCGAAACTCACTCAACACATGGCTGATAGCTGGAGCTTTGGCAAACATGAAAGAATGCTAAAGAAAATGTTGCCATCTGGTAAAAGAGAGAAAGGTGGTGGGCTGCAGTCTTTTTCTATTTTTTTTATGAGACTTTACATATTCTGTTAGACCAAAATGAGCATATCCGGATAGGAAAAAAAAAGTCTACATTTTTATTTTAATAAATTTAAATATGAAGGAATTCAATAGGTTACTATGGTCTTACCACTCTTCCATTACTATTTTTAACAAGTTACATTTCCATGTAATATGTTAATGAAGACATGATCTGGCATATGCACTGGTCTGTGTGAGCACCGAGTGTAGCTTTAACTATTCATGAAGCATGTTGCCTTTACTGTAATTGTAGATGATACTTCAATGAATGTATTCATGTATTACATGGCTGATGAGTTTTAACTAAGCCTAAATATAAATCTCAAGTCACTTTAAAATTATCTTGTAAAGCATCTATCGCTTTTTTTAAATTAGTGCCATACTGTTCAATCTCATTACTAAGTAATGGCAGTTTGTCCACTTGAAAGTCATTTCACTTTGCCTCCTTCTGCCATGTTTGACTGCTAGAGAGAGTCCTATTTTGCAGTTAAAGACTGTGTGTGATTAATATCCATAATTATAAGATATGACTGAATTAAAATCAATAACCCTTTTATTTGCAATAGATATCTCTTAAGCCTTAATTGCTGATTTAGTAGTTAATTGAGAAAATCCTTGTTAATGATCTGATGTAGCTCTGAGGGAATGCTGAATGAGTGAGAAATTGTTCTCCAGTAGGCATAATTTTCCCAACTGTGTATGGCTGACCCTGGAGAGAGATGAACAGAACAGGCCATGGAATGAGCGGTTCAGTTTCTCTCAGCACACAGTAACACACGACACACACGCTGAAAATAATTAGGAATTACTCATCTTCGTGAGAATCCTGATCAGTAGCACTCAAATATACACACACACAAAAAAAGAAAGAATAATATTCCCTAGAACTTATTTTTTAGGAGCCCATGGAATGTACTTTATTACAGAACGCCTCTTAGTTTGTATTTTCTAACTTCATCTGTCTTTTGCTTGTCTACTTCCTGCGTGTGTGTCCCTCAGTTCCTGCTTACTTTGCTGCTGAGATAATTGCTCCTGGAAAGGAGATTGTTAATGGTTCTGGTGGCATAAATTCTCCAGAATTAAACATCTCATCTCATCTGCGTTAGCCTCCTTCTGCTAATTTAAAAATCATTGCCCTTCACAGCCTTTACAGAAGGATCTCTCATTTTAAGTATGTGTTATTTAGAAAAGAAATACAGTCAATTCCTGAGACAATCTCCCTTTAGAGAGGAAGAAGGGAAAAAAACAATATTTGGCAAAGCCCAAAAGGCACCATGCGTCGTCCTAGGTATTTCTGATACATTTACTCTAATTCTGACAGGCACCACGAAAGTGCTTATGACTATTTCCACATTATAGATTAAAAAACAGGAAGACACTAAGGCTCACAGTTGTTGGGTAACTTGCCCAGAGACCAACTGCCAGTGAATAATGAAATAAGGATTTGAAACATGACTTCAAATCTATGCTTTCTTCTTTGTTTTTCTCCCAGCAACAGGATGCATCGATAAAACAATCTGTATTTGGAATAAAAACATCAGTGTTGAAAAACATGTTTTGAATTAAGTATGCTTGGATGCAAATTGTAATGTGTTCAGGTCAAAACTCTTGGTATGTGTCAAGTAATGTATATGCATGTTTCCCAAACTATGCAGCTGTGCCCTGGGATGTCACAGCAAATTCACCAGGCACTAGGGAATACCTTAAATTCTTAAGAGAAACATGGCGATACTTGACATTTGTCAGATTGCCACAAACTAGTAGTTTGAGGTAGTTCAGTTTCAGGAGTACATTGTGCTAAAAGCCCTTCAATGGCATCTCTTTGCACAGCTGGATTTTCAGTGACTGCTGGGAAGAAAACCAAGTACCAAGCAAAAAAATACGATGTGGAACACAGGTTAAATGAGAGTCCCAGTGGTGTCTAGGGTGGTGCTAATATCTTAGAGGTGTGCCATACTCAATAGATACATATATCCCATTTGTAATGGTGCTTATGTTAAAAATTAAATTCTCTTTTATAATTTATGTGTATTATTTTCTTCAGACATCTAATAAATTGTTAGGACAAAAGTACTGATGGAGTTATTTGGACTTCACTGTGTAATAAATGGAACTTTTAAGTATTTCTTTTGGTCTGAGGACACAGTGACAACATGAGTGAGGACTAAGGAAAGCGTGGGAATCTCAGAAAATATTTCATATCTTCTTCCTCTGTAATGAAGAGGTATTTTACATGTAACTTAATCATATGAGAAAGCCAGAAATCAATGAAGATTTCTCTACTCATACTCATCTGTCATACTTTAGAGCTAAAGTCGAGGCAATCTCAGAGAAGACCCTATTTCAAAGGCATATTTATTTCAAAACCTGTCTCAAGTTGAGCATGTGGCCACACCTTCGGAGGCTTTGTGACTGGCAAATTTACCTTGTGAACTGGGTACTGTCATAGGTGCTGTATAGTGTAAGGGACAGAAGACTTGAAACCCAATTCCAGTTCTTTCATTTGCTGACAAAACTAGTCAAAAATTAGTCATGCTGTCCTCATCTGAGAATGAATAGAATTCAGTGAGAAGCCCTACTTCCTATACTTCTGTTGTGAGAATTAAAAATAATATGAGCCAATGTTCTAGGTAAAGTTCTAAGTAAAAACTAGATTCGTAATAAATATTACTGCCTTCCTTCTGAGTTCACCTTTCCATTGCAGAGAGGATCAATAACTTTTATACCTCAAACCAAAGAACTGTCAACATTTCTTTCAATTTTCTTCTACCCTAAATATGCACTACAACAGAGTAGAAAAACTAGTCTCAGAGAATCTCTCCAAGGTTTTATTCATTATTCATTATTCATTATGCACTGAATAATGAAAATAAGAGTTTATGTTGATTCTCATTGGGTCATTTCTAGCATCTCCCAAATGACACCCCATTCTCAGTCTACTTAATGATGTCCATCCCACAAATATTAAACCAATATCTCCAAAACACAAATTCAAATATATCATCTACCTCTACTCAAAATTCTTCAGTAGCTCCCTATTGTCTATAGAATTAAGTCCAAACTATTGAGTACAACATCATGGCCCTCCATTAGAGATCTCCCTATTTTAAAGCAACATAGTCCAAGGGTTAAGAGCAGACTCAGAGTTAAACTTCCTAAAATCAGAGCTTTGTGAATTTAAGCAGGTTATTTATCCTTTCCATGCCTCAAATTCCTCATCTGAAAATGGGAAAAGTAACAGAACCTACCTGAAATGGTGGTTGTGAAAAGTAAATGAGTAAAGGTAAGTACTTAGAACAGTGCTTGGCACAGAATAAATTCTAAGTGTTAGATTATTCCTTCTACTGCTCATACACACTTAATTTCAACAAACAAAACTGCATGATAGCCTCTGAACAAAGCCCACATTTTTGGATGTCTGTGATTCTTATGTTTTCCCTGTATTTAAATTCCCTTTCTAAGCTTATCTCCAGCCCAAATCTTTGCAAATTATATCTGCTTATCAAAAGCCTCTCTATGAAGCTTTCCCATATTTCTTTCTTTTGCTTCTTAGGGGAATTAATTTCTAACACTCATTTTACTGATCATATTCCCCCTTGTATTGTTATCTGTTTATTTTCTTCACAGCTCTAATCATAATTTATAAGCAAATATTTCCTTGTTGGTTAACTATATTATTGGTATATTATTAAAATTCCAGAAATCCATGTGTGTGTTTTGTTCACCTTGCACATACAGCTATCTTGCAGCAATACTGAAGTCGCCTTGTGTGTTCTGGTCAATGGAATGTCAACAGAATCAAGTGTAAAGCTTCTAGAACATACCCTTTCTGCCAGCTGAAATGGGTATGCAGTGTTATAACTGGAGCAATCATCTCTTTCCATGAGATTATTTTGGGAACTGAGGTCTCTGCAGAGGAAAAAGAGAAGTATGTTTTCAGACTCTGGAGTACCATAGTATATTTCAACTGACTATTTCCAGACTATAAGAAAGAAATATATCTTTTTTTTTTAAGATTTTATTTATTTATTTGACAGAGAAAGACAGCAAGAGAGGGAATACAAGCAGGCGGAGTGTGAGAGGGAGAAGCAGGCTTCCCACTGAGCAGGGAGCCCGATGCAGGGCTGGATCCCAGGACCCTGGGATCATGACCTAAACAAAAGGCAGACATTTAATGACTGAGCCACCCAGGGGCCCCAAAATAAATTTCTTATTCTTATTAAAACCAAGGTTGTTTAAGGAGGGCACATGATGTGATGAGCACTGGGCATTATACACAACTGATAAATCATTGAAACTACATCTGAAACTCATGATGTACTATATGTGGGCTAATTGAATTTAAATAAAAAAAGAAAACCAACGCTCTGTGGGATTTTCTGCTACTTGTAATCAAACCTAATTCAATTAATACACATTCATAATCAATCAGATTGTTTTATTTTCTTTTACTTAGAACTTTGTAAATCTAAGATCAAGAGAGATACAAAGTCCCCTAAATTCTTACTCATGATGCAGTTATTACATGACCTCCCAAAATATAATACAGTTGACCCTTAAACAATTGTGGAGATTCAAGGTGCCAATCCCTTGCAGTTGCAAATCGGCGTATAACTTTCTGACTCCCCCCAAATAGCCTACTATGGATTCAAAGCCTTACCGATAACATATAGAGTCAACTAACACAAATTTTCTGAGTTATATGCATATTTTACTTTGTTCTTACAATAAAATAAGCTAGAGAAGAGAAAATATTAAGGAAGAGAACATACTCTAGTTATAGTACTATACTGAATCTATCTTTAAAGAAATCCACACATAAGTGGTCCCATGCAGTTCAAATACATGTTATTCAAGGTCTCACTGTATTTTATAAAATTTCATTTTGTTTTAAACTTGGAATATATTACCAACTGCCTGAATTAAAATGAGATTACTTTGTCTTTTATTTAGTATATTTTAGACATATTTTGCCTATTTCACAGGTGCATCTAGCAATTTTATTCAGAAGAAATATTGACTCCTGGTGATCTAAGCTGGGCCAATAATAGTCTTTTCCCCAGCAACTAGAAGGTTGAGCAAAGGAGCACAAAGTTGGAAAGGGGTAGCTGAGTCATGCCAGGGCAGCACTGTAGCAAAGTTCCTGCTGCTGTGACCCCAGGATATTTATGTTCCTGTTGATGGCAGAAATTTTTAGTTGCCAAAGAATTCACCTTCCCTTCCCCAGTCCTAAAAGTACCCTAATGTTCTATTCATGTAATTGGAATGGTATTATCTGATCTCTAGTTCAAGATGTGTCCTAATTCGCTGAAGCCAACAACATTGTTCATCCCCATAGAACAGTTTCAGAATTAGGGATGGGTATGTAACCTAGACCCCAGCTTAGGTGTGCTGGAGCTAGCTCATAGCAGCTCCCCGGAGCCAACTGCTAAATTTCTTCCAAGTCTGCAAGTCAGTAGTCAAGATTACTACACAGAGTCATTATTAAAAATTAAATTATGAATTCATACTTAAATTATATGGAAATACTTAAAATACATCAATTCCTAATCATTTTATATTTTTTTACTACACTTTATTAGAATCGATGTTCTTCAGATCTTGACATTTATTCTATCTGTATGGTGGAAATTCCATGTAATGGTGTGCTACTACGTACTTTTTCCCAACTCTGTGGTCAGTGACATCATGCTGGTAGCTAAATAATATATATTCTTCCAATACTTTCAAAACTATTGTCCAAATGAGCAAGTAATTCACTCACATCATCAATGAATGAATTGGTGAGGTTTCCCAACAGCTAGGATGTTTTCAAATCATTACTGGATTGCAACCATAGGTGGGCTATAGATACGAGAGTTCAGCAAAAGTTAATAAAAATATTCTGAGAGAATTAATTGGTCATATGGAATTTACATTGAAGAGTACTGTGTATTTTTTTTATTTGTTAATTGTGGGCTAGACATCCTTTCCATGAGTAAAATTTATAATGATCTTATGTACATAGATACATGGTTATATTTTTTCAGAGAGCTGATTTTAATCATTTAGCAGCAAACCAATGCCTAAGGCAAGTAGTTAGTGTATGACTTTCCATGAATGAACAAGTGCTAAAATTAGTCCAGTCACAGGGAAGCTTGGGACTTTTATTCAATGATAAAATAGACATATTTCTCTCTCTCTTTCCCTCCCTCAAACACACACACACACACACACCACACTCTCTCTCTCTCTCTCCCTCAATATAAACCAGGAAGAATGTACCCTCAGGAGCCTATGGCTGCAGTCCTATGACACAATAGAAGGAGTCAACTTTAGAGTGGTACAAAGGCAGGAGAGAAATAGAAAGAAGCTGATTTCTTGGTGAAGGTCTTGAGGTGCTGGATCAAACCAACACTGTAGCAGCCATATTAGTCAATGAATTTCCTCTTTAAGGCAGTTTAAGTTGGAATTTCTGTCCTTCACGAGACCTAATTAGCTAGCTATTTAACTTTATAAATGATGTCATTCTCCTTTCAAGAAACATTCCTTTTTACCTCATTTTTTTTTACCAAAAAATTTTTTAAACCAAAGTTTGTGACTCAGTCTTCTAAAAGATTAGGTAGGAGTTTTAGAGAAGGAAAGAACTGTGATATAGTGCTCTTATAGAAGGTACAATTTACTGTGAAATATACAGAAGATATATTCTCAAGAGAATGTACTGGGAGGCACAAAGGTAAAAGATTTGGAGCAAGCGCTGCTTTTGAAGACTCTCCAGGTTGTTGTGGACAATACACTTAGGTTGGTAGAGATGGTATTCTCCTCTTCAGGCCCTAGATCCCAATAGGTCTTGGGTAGCCATAGGAAGGCTTCCCAGCCTTTTTTACCATCAACTTTATGTCATTGAAATTATAGCATAATAATATTTTATGATGGTGAAATCACTTGGCAAGCCACGTCGTCTGTATCTAATACCCACGTTTCATGTACAATTTTATATCATATGCCACTGTCTGCAGATTATAAAGTAATTAAAATGCATATTATTGTGTTTACCTTATATACAACATAGCTACATCATGATGGCCAGTCTGTGGGAATGTTACATCAAAAGGCCTAGATCATCACAACTGCGTCTATTGCTTTCATCCACAGACACCTTAACAAACACGGAATTAGATACCGGAGTAGGGCAAGGGCCACAGATCCTTCGAGAAATTTATCTTTTTGAAATATGTTATATGGTCAACATGGAACAAAAGCACTGGGATACTTTTCCATTTTCCAGGATAGAAAAGTTCTAGCCCATAATGGTACAGAGCAGTGAATTAGCCAATCAAGTTACTGATTCTGGTAACCAAAGAAACAACAAAGGATGAAAAATTCCTTACTATATCTAGAATCTTTACTATATCTAATGGTACAGAATAATTTAAAGTGAGAATACCTTAAAAACAACCCTTGAAAACCCTACTACAAGACTTGGATTGATACTCAGTTCCTGTACGTTACAATGGTGAAAGAAAAAAGAAAAGAAAAGAAAAGAAAAGAAAAAAGAAAAGAAAAGAAAAAAGAAAAGAAAAGAAAAGAAAAAAGAACCTTCTATCTTTTGTCACCATAGAGCTGAAGCTACTAAATATCAAATATAGGAATTGATTCTGTGGGGTGCTTAACTAAAGGACCCATTAAATTCACAACCTCACTAATTCTTTTATATGGAATATATACTAATAGGAAATTAAGTAACCGTAATCATTGAAATAAGGGTATCCAGAGCATTCAAAGGATCTGGAGCCTCCCGATTCCTCAAACTGCTTTGCAATGTTTCCATTGTGTTTTTCTTGCTGTACAGATCTAAAAATTTACCCAATTCAAACATTTATAGCTTCCCAACTGCTTCAATTAGGGAAACGCAAAATCAGAATAGAGAATAAAAGCATTATACCGCAAATTTTGCAAACACTCAATCACGAAGAGCAGAGTATGATTTTGGATCAGGCTTAAGTCTTTGCTATGGGTGAACACACAACAATTTGGAATTCAACAGCTTGCGGTAACTGTGATTCTAATAATTTGTAGGTTTAGTCAAAGCAAACCAAGATCAAAAGATGACTCGTGCTAAGTAATAGTAAAACGCCAGAAGTCTGATATAAAAGAAGGAAGTCAAAGACTACGGGAGAAAGTAATGTTAGATTAGATCCATCCTGTACTTTTCACCCACAGATCTCCTCCCTATTTTCATTGCCAGGGTCCAGACAACTCTTAAATATTCTTTCCAATTAGGAACAGACTAATGATGAAAGTCCTGGTTTCTCTGAAAAGTGCTTTACTGGGCTGAGAATTCTAGTGAACAAGGATAGAATAAGACTGTGATCCATGATCTCACTAGGGATGGAATAAGCCACGCCCAGCAGGGCCAAGTCTGTGTTATTACCCTCCAGAAACAAAATATCACCTGCCATAAGATTACACTGTTCCTATGACCTCCAATCTTCCAGATGTCTCAGCTCAAATTAAATCCCAGTGACAGTAAATTTGATTATTCAAATGTGGCCCTTGTATCTGCCTGAGAATTAATCAGTCATGGCTAGAAATAGGGCTTGGTTATAGTCACTGGGGCATCACTTTGAATATGATGAATCACTGTACTTTGATCTATTTTGTTCTTTTTTACTTGATTCTTAACCCATACACACACACACACACACACACACACACACACACACACACACACACA